CAAATAAATAAATAAAACTTGATAATTAACTAGCTTCGCTTTATTTTATTGGAATTCAGTGGCAGAAATGTACTTTTTACTTAATAACATTTATGAGGGTGTATTTACGATTGTAAGCGATTTAAATCTTATTCGTATACCCAACCCTCAGCAGCTGGTTGCCATGAAACCAACTCTTTCTCGTTGAACCAAAGACCGATTTCTTTGTTAGCCGATTCAACAGCGTCGGAGCCGTGGATGATGTTGCGGCCAACCTGGATACAGAAATCGCCACGAATGGTGCCGGGCAAGGAGTCAGCTGGGTTAGTAGCACCTAACATTTGGCGGCCGGTCTTCACAACATTCAAACCCTCCCACACCATGGGAACCACTGGGCCGGAGCCCATGTAGTTGACCAAACCGGGGAAGAAGGGGCGAGATGACAAATCGGCATAGTGTTTCTCCAAAAGATCCTTCGATGCCTGTAAGAAAAAATTTAATATAATGTTAACAGTCAAGCCAAATAAAAATCATATGCATATCCATATTTAGTAAATCCGTCCCAAATCACCTTGAAATTAAAAGTTTATGCATGTGGCAAATACCCTGACCAATCCTAACCTCAAAAATATATTCCCTTCGGAACAAATGGCACTGGAAAGTCCGAAATTCCAATCTACCCCCAAATTTTTAAGCACAGTTAATTTGATTACAGACCACCTCCGCCAGGTGCTACACTTACCCACGTGAACTTCAAAGCCACCAATTTGAAGCCCTTCTGTTCGAAACGCTCGATGATCTTGCCGACGAGTCCACGCTGGACTCCATCGGGTTTCACCATGATGAAAGTGCGCTCCTTGTTTGCTGCCATTGCGTACGAGAACAACGAGAAGAATGCCAAAATCGTACCAATCATGACAGCTTTTTTGCCAAGCAGATTGATTTGCGAACACCACCGGTTGATAGAGCGGGAAGGCAAATTTTCGTGTTGTTGCACAGAAGTCATACTGGAAATTCGACAAATGGGGCCGCCGATTCCCTTGGCAGGGTTGCATGTATGAATTGAAGTATCCATTTCGAAAAAACCAAACTAATTCGAACAACAAAGTACCTATTTAAAAGAATCCATTTATTTATGCAATGCTTTACAAATTTTAAACTTTTTTCTTTTAACACATACCGTTTTGCTCAACAAATTTGGACCGGTTTTTGGCCATTATTCGTTTATTTACTTAATTAATGTTTATAAAAGTCGAGCTCATTATATGTATGTATATCAAAAACAACATAAATCTAAATTTCAAACTTTATACAAAAATCATAAAAATTCAATAATTTTCATAGAAATTTCTAAATTGTATATATAAAATTTTCTTGTGCAGTTTTACAGTCCATTAAATTTTGGTAAAATAAAGTGCAACTTTTAAGTGCTCTAATTGATTTTTGGCAATTTTTTCGTTGAAAGTGTTACGGATTTTCCTCCCTGCAAAGTAATTTGTTTATATGAACAAGTAATTTTTAGCAAAAAAAAACCGACTTCAACTCTCATATAAAAAAAAAAATATATACATATATATATCATGATCCACTGATCGGATCTTAACCAGATTAGTATGCACTACCTTTCCGATGCAAAAAGAGTTATCGAAATCGGGCGATGTGGACTAAAGTTATGCGGTAGCATACTTAAAAAAAAAAAAAAATATTCAGACGAACTGATAGTAGGTTAAAAAAATACTTAGCACCGTCAACAAGAAAATTTACCAAAAATCAACCTGAAAGCCACCTGAAATTCGCACTTTATTATAACAAAATTGAATGGGCTATGAAACTGGGTACCAAACATTTTTATACAAATTTTTATGATTTTGTACAAAATTTTAAATGTGGGTTTATATGATTTTTGTTATATAATGAACTAGGCTTTTAAAAATATAAGAAACATTAAATAAAGCAAATAATAATAGCCAAAACCTGTTAAAATATTGCTGTCTTAATCCCAGCAAACATAATCTTCAACATTAGAGACAAGTTCTGATTTTACATTAGAATTCTAACGTAGTTGTCGAATAGGATATAGAACCATATTAGAACTCGATTAGATAATTATTAGAAAAAAATTGTACATTTCAAACCAATTATAGTTCAAAGTTAGATTCATTGGGTAAAACATGGTGCGGTACATATTTAAGCCATATATTTAAAAATACATAACAAGAGAATTTAAATATTTTTTATCCTTCTCACGGTCTCAAATACATTTGTAACTATGAGCAAATTTTGTTCAAACCATCGGCATATTGAAACTCGGGGCTATTCTCATACTCGCACATATCCAACGCGATCTCACAGCTCTCTTTCACGACGCGTTGATCATCCTCCGCATAACGGTTTAATATAGCAATACATTCCTCTGTAGCGATTGCACCCAAAGCCTCAGCACACTCATGACGTACCATTTCATTCTCGTTCTGATCTTCTAAGTTGTTTTTAAGGTATGGAATACTACATGGCTCTTGTATTTGGCCTAATACAAATGCTACCTCATGTCTAAATAACGCCGAGGAATTTTTTAAGCCCTCGACAATGGCTAAAACACTTTCAGTGGTTCGCAGGTTACGAAGACTGAACATAGCGCGATAACGTTCAAATAAACTCTTCTTTGGATTTAAGTAAATTGTTTTCAATTCATGCACTGTTTTCATGCCAGCCGCTGGAGGTGAGGGATCAACTGATGCATAGGGATTGTTATCATCTACTTGTTGACCACTTTGTATCCAGCGCACACGATCGAGCGCAATTGAACATGTCTCTGCAACTTCCACTATAGGATCCTCTTTGTACTGTTCTAATATCGGTATGACATCAGGTACACCGATGGCGCCAAGTGCTTCACCGGCTTCGTGGCGAACCATTGGCTCCTGCGTCGTATCAGCAAGAACTTTAGTCAAGATATTTATAGCTTTCCTGTCCTGCATTTGTCCCAGGCAGTAGGCCAATTCATGCTTTAGCAATGCTGAGTCATCCGCGAAACCCCGGCTGATTTCTTCAATAGCTTCGGCGCCACCAAGATTCTTCAATGTAAATAAAGCACGAAAACGCTCCTTAAGTGGTCTGTCTTTACTATTCAAAACAGCTCCTATAGACTTTATTTGTTCCTGGGTAACCATGTTTACTTCGATTAATATAAAACTATTAGTGAAATATTAATTTTTATTACAAAAAATAAATATCAATGAACGATGTTTATGTTTTTAGAACCTAAATGACATTTGTCTATGCGGCACTAGAGATGGGAAAAACATTGATGTTGACATCGATGTATCGATGTTTTGAAAAAACCGAACACATCGATCTTTCACTCTTCAACATCAATTTTATACTTTCTTACCGTCTCTAAGGGCCGGTTACTCAATGTCTGGTTAACACTAATCGGCGGTTAAACATCGTTATCGACGACTTTGACTCCATGCATATAACAGGGAGTCGGTAACGTCNCCTAAGTCTAGGTCCAAACAGAGAAACTTTTGTCCCAGCAACTCGTTACTTGTGGGAGAGGGAGTGACGAGGAAGGGGAAGGGCACCGAGTTGCTCGTGCTCGGGCAACACGTCTTGTGCTCTCGTTCCTCTGAGTAATTCTAGTTGGCCGTTCACAGTTGACAACAACAATTGTGTACATAAGCTTTTTTCTGAGTGAACGCGAAGTGCAACACCAAAAGATAAAATGCTGGAAATAGCAACAAAAGTTTCTCTGTGTGAACCTAATCTAACGTGGTAACCTTTTTGGTAATCAAATTTTCTGGTTAAAAAATCATCAGTAGCACTGGCCACACACGACGAGCATGTGTGCGAGCGTGCTCGTGCTTGCGTTGTATGTTAGTCGTTTGTAAAACGGTTCATGAGCATCTCCGCTAAAAATCAAAAAAATTTTGATTTCCATGCTTTGTTATTTTCGTTTGTTAACTGTGATAAATCGTTTGTTCATCGTTTGGTCATCCTTAAAACTAGCGTTAGCACTTCATTATTATAAATATTTTTATATTGCAATCCATTTTTATATTTTTAACGTTTGTTCGTTTGCCAAACAGTAATAATTACTTTTTAAATTTTTACTTTACGTTAAACATTACGTTACACATCTTTCGTTTGATATACATATTTCGTGAATAAGTGTATGATATCTGTGGAAAAAGAGACTCAATAAAAATATATGACACAAAATTTGTTTTTATGGGTTTTTCCATACATAGTCCATAATATATATATTTTTATGTAAATTTGATTTCCTTTTTTTCCCATATTTTCTTTTGATTATTAATATTTTGATAGAAATTATCAAATATCGGGAACGGTTTAGTTATTCGTACAACGATTTGTGGAGTTGGCAGAGTCGTATGAAGCGTTACATCCCTACATACAAGTATAATATAAATAAATTTAAGTAACACATAGATAAAAAAAAAACGTTAGGCAAAGCTCGCGCACATGTTCGTCTTGGGTGGCCAGTGTAACGTGCAGAATGGACTTGTAAGTGCAACCCTGTTTTGATTCAGCAGTGCTACCAACCTAAACTCCTGTTGAAGTTTTTCAAATCTCATTTTTTGGGGCAAATTTAACGATGAAATAAAAGCGTTGTAATAGGCACGTACCTCAAGGCATGTTGTAAAGCCTATGTATTTAGCACGGAAATGGATTTGTCCTTGAAAATTTAATATAATTTAAACGTTATTTTTTTGAAGTCTATAAAAAGACCGACGCATTCAAACTTCGACGATGACACCACTCTTGAAAATGCAACACTGAGTAGGCATTGTGGTCAACATCTATTCGCTGAAAAGAAACGAGTAAAAAGCTACACGAATGCGCGGCGTTACGTTGTGAAGTGGAAAATTAATTTCGTGAAATTTACATGTTTTTGTGTATAATTGATAGAAAATTTTATCAAAAAAGTGAAAACGATACATAAAAGTTGCGTAAACAATTAAGATATATTAAAAGTTCTAAGTAATTTTTGCAAAAACATTGTGGAAAAAAAGCGCTCCGGAATCGGAAAATTCGTCGTTTGCGTCGTGAATCACATACTCTGAATATAATAGAAAGCGAAAAGTGAATCTTTTTACAAGTATAGAATATTGTGTATTGAATTTAATATAAGAATTTGTTAAACAATACAAATTAGAACAATGTCTGAGGTTGAGAATATTAGTGAAATCCAGCAGAATACTGTACCAGTCGAACAGACCCTAGCAGAGGTAGAGACAGCGAGTACTCCAGTGTCGGCTGAGACAGAGACGCCAGCTGCGACTGAAAAGCAAGTGGTCAACAACAGCATTGAAGCTGAATCTGGTGCCGGCGATGCGGATGCGGGCACGAGTGCTGCGGAGGATGCCAAAGCGGCGGAATCTTCACCAAAAGTGGAAAGCACAAAGAAGACACCCGTAAGTATGGCAGCCATTTGGTGCATTTTCCCTTCTGAATGTACATATTTGTATGCGGTGCTTTCTGCTCACGAGTTAACAAGCGGGGGGGNCGATAAAATCTCACCTAGCATGTATACTGCGCAAAGTTCTATACAGGGGCGAATCATCTGGAAAATTGGTTTCACAATTGTGAATAATCTGAACTTTTTCAGTACATGCAAATATATGTATGTATGGCCAAAAACATGCCAATATATTTTTCTTCGTGGCATAAAAAGCGCGCGTTTTTACCCCGCTAATTAAAAATTTTCCATACAAATATGTACATGGTTATATTTGAGGCAATGTCTTGTGTTGCCACTTCCTTCGGCGTCGTGCTCTGCTGGGGCACATGGAGCTCATTAGTTTATGCAGTAGCAGCGTAGTCTTGGCTTTTTTTGCATACTATTTATTTTTATTTCAATAAGTTTTTTTTATATTCCTGCTGCAATTTTCTCTACCGCACGTTGCGCGCGGTGTCGTAAAAGTTTCACGGTAGTTGATTTGTTCCATTTTCGATTTGTGTATATCGCTGTTTGCACTCGCTACATTGATCACTCGTCGCAATTGGCGTCGTGTTGAAACNAGTTTTTTTTATATTCCTGCTGCAATTTTCTCTACCGCACGTTGCGCGCGGTGTCGTAAAAGTTTCACGGTAGTTGATTTGTTCCATTTTCGATTTGTGTATATCGCTGTTTGCACTC